AAATCTTTGAAAATAGACTCTATAAATTAAATTTAAAGAAAGGATGAAAAAGAGAATTAATATAATTTTTTCCCAGAGACTGCTCTAAAATTTTCAGTTTTTTAAAATGGATTTTGAGTCGCCTTTTTCTCTGCGAAAAATCAAATAAAAAATATTCATGGATATTGTAGGTATGAATTAATAAAAATTGCATAGGAACTCACCGTTTTTCGCGTCATTATGACGAACAACGGTGCTTTTTTTTTTTACGCGTAATTATTGCCAACTTTTCGATAATATTCATCGTATAATGAATTCTTAATCGGTCAATGGAACGCCTCTGCTCCAAGATCAAAATAGTGCGTTCGCCCCACCTCAAATTTTACGGACGGCTGAAAAACAGTTCAATCCTTTCCCCGACTCCAACCAACCACTATCACAAATCATTCGGTAAAGCGCATAATCTATATGTGTGTGTGTATATATATAATATATATATATATATATATATACTCCGCGCGATTTCATTAATTACTTTCATCGTCGAACGAATCCTCTATTTATAACACTCGTAGTAAAGGTCTAACAATTTCTACTAGTGAAGGGCTGCGGCGCCTTCTTCGAAGAACTTCTCACTTAACACGTACATGGATCGATGTGTACTTTTATTTTCTTTTTCTTTCCAAGAGGGAAGGGAAAACATTAAGAGACGTTTAGGTGCGAAATGGAATTACGATGCAGCTTGTTGGAATCATGTCGTTGGCGCATTCGAGGAAGGCGGTGTGTCGGTGCGCCAAATTGAGCTACTTGAATGGCTGATCGTAGTGATCTAGAAGAGATACAGATCGTAATTAAAGACTAGTTATTTCCAGTTAGTTAGAATAATATTGCGATAATATCGCTTTTCTCGACTATGATGAATCCATTGTAATTTATTGTTTGCTGCATAGATAAATTATGCCAATTTTGTCATAATTTTGCATTAACTGTCAAATGTTTTCTGTACAATACCCTTTCTTGAATTCTACAATTACAAAAATTATAATTTTACAAAGTTACGTAGTTCTTATTTCACTTTTGCCACCGTTCCAAAGTGATTTTTTTAATTCTGTCAAAAAATATATATACTATGTGCTGAAATATGTATATAGATTTACAATATTTTGTATTTAAATTAATTCTCTCTGTTATACAGGGTGTATCTGAAATAACGCCCACTAATCATATAGTGCTATTCTTAATAAAAAAACTGAGTCAAAAAGTCCTCTAATATTTTACAATTTTCGCAATATTTTTTTTTAGTTATCTAATGAGCAAAATGTCTACAATCAACAAATAATTTTAAGATATCTTTGAGAATTCTTTAAGAAATTAAAAATATTTCACAAAAAACATTGAAAGATATTTTAAAATTGTCTTATACATCGATTTTATCCATTTACTCAGCAATTTTTAGAAATTCATGTCTCGTTAACTATTATAAAAATTGCAAAATGGTAGAAGACTTTTCAATTTAATTTTTTATTAGAAATAGCACTGTATGATTAATGGACGCTATTTCAGATACACCCTGTATATAATTTTTTCTTCACCATTTTAGAAACTTAATAAAATAATAAACTGTAGAGGCTCTAACAAAACAGTTCGTTCATTTTTACAAGCCTATTACCTTATTGTCGTGTCCGATCAATGGTGTCTCCGCCGTAGTTTCGTCGCTGGAACGATTCATGTACGGATGTGGCGGTGGCACGTAAATCGGTTTAGAATGACTGGCGACTTGCGCGTAAATCGTCGGCTCCTGGATCGGCTGTCTGCGCGTCAAAGTCGACATAGGCAGCATCTGGGGCCGTTGGATGCTGGAGATTTGCACGGGCTGGTAGCAATTTGGAGGTATTCGTCGGTTTCCCCTTAGTGCTAATTCGACGTATGTTAACTCGGATCCCTGTTAAGAACAATATTATTCCCAGAATTTAAACAACATGATTTGATCGATTAAGAATTCAGTTCAGATGTTCAATATCGGATTACATATATTTTTAAAATAAAAACCGATTAGTTGATTTATTGTAGTGAAGAAAGTGAAGTCATAATGAAAGTTATTTAAATATAAGTTTTTTTTTTTTTTTTTTTTAATTAAAGTGCGAAGTATTATATTAAGCTCTGTATTTACTTTAAAATATAACTATGATCAATGTGTTTTTATAAGAGGATTACATACACATAATTAGAAATTAATTGTGACTTCGGACTTAGATGTTAAATGTATTATTATTCTAGATACATAATTACAAATTGTACTTACGTTGTTTGTTGTTGCGAAGGTATTCACTTCCGGGCGTTGCTGCTGCAGTACATATCGTGGTGATGTACTTTTGCATAATTCCGCATATGAATTCTCTATAATACAATAAAGTACAGGGATTAGTGCCCTTGTTATGCCCTTACATTTATTATTATTAAAATTATACAGTTTATATGTTACAACTGATTATAAATTAATATTGCAATTTCTTGTTATACTTGATTATGAATTGATATTGCAATTTCTCTCTCTCTCTCTCTCTCTCTCTCTCTCTCTCTCTCTTGTTGCAACTGATTATGACTTGATATTGCAACTTCTTGTTATAACTGATTATGAATTGACATTACAATTTTCTTGTTTTAAGGAACATTTATCCAAGAATTTTTACGCACACACAACTTAACTTCCATACATAAAATCAAAAGTTTTTTTTAGAAAGCATCTATTTATTATCTGCGTAAATTTATATCACTAAAAAATGAAAAAATTAAGACAGATATTTAATTTTAAATTATAATTAACATCAGTTTATCTTCAAAATACATGGAAAAAATATTTTGTGGAAATAACTTTCAATGACGATTGAATTATGAAGTACCGATTAATTTTTTTGTTTAAATATTTGAGTAAGTTATCAATAATTATGAAAGTATAAAATTAATTAAAGCAAAAAAGCTTATTTTGCTACAAATACTTTTTATCAATTAAACAAAAAAAGCGGCACTTACGGTCAAAGTTAGATGTTGGAATAATACATCTACATATTTGTACTTTAAATATATTTTAGGAAGATCAATCTGACTATCATATAGGAATAAATCAGTGTAAATCTGAATGAATATGGCATCCCCACGAAATTGTACTTTTAGTTTTCAATTTTTTCAAAAAAATAAAAATCCAAATTTTAATGTTAAACTATAGAAATTAAAGCCTTAAACGGTCTAGTTAGATGTTAAATGCTATGATTCTTGTGAATTTATATACTACGTATGTAGAAACGCGCGCCGAAATGATTTTGCAATTTCTTGTTATATTATGAATTGATATTACAATTTCTCTCTCTCTCTCTCTTTCTCTCTCTCTTGTTGCAACTGATTACGAGCATTTAAGATCCAGCTAAACCGATTAAGGTTTTGATTTCTATGGTTTGTATTATCACACATATATACGGTTCTAATAATAATATATTATGATTAAAATAATATATTATATTGTTTAATGTTAAACCTTTCTAAAGTTGTTGGAACATTTGGTTTATGCATTACGAATTTATGGAAATGGTCAAAAACACATTTTTAGGGATCAAAAACACATTTTCGACACTTCTTCTTTCTTGGAAATTTTACATGAGAAATAATTTTTGAGATCATATTCGTATTCAGCGCATTTTATTTACTAAAGAACAATCTTTCATGATAAAAAAACAAAAATCTTGTAAAGTGAAAAACATGTAAAGTATATAATAATATAACAGAAAAATGTAAAATTATATAATTGATTTCATTAAACTGTGAGCAGTAGATTTTAAAAATGAAGAAAAAAAATGTGAGAAGTATACTCTCCACTGCTTCTCAAAGGGATAATTTAGCTAATCTCTAAGTAAAACATTTTAGCGATTAATAACGATAATAATAACTAACAGTGAGAATGATTTATTTTATACTGGGTGCGCGCATTTATCACGACCCAATCACTGGATAAATCAGATAGAGGAACATGCTGCGAAGCGGAGTGACAGGTACTCTTGCCTACCGTTTGCATGTGGTATTATATCGGGATTCTTCTCGAAGCTCTCGATGCTATCGGTACTGAGGGGCAAGGTCGACGATTTGTCAAGCGGAGACGAGGCGCCGGTTCCCGACGCCGCCAGGTTCGCCATGCCGCCGTCGTCATGAGAGTCCTCCTGAGATCGAGGTCGATAGCGAAGCTTGACGGCCAGCACGATCACGAAGATTACCAGAAGCAATCCCGCTGTGGCTCCCACCACGGCACCCAATAGCGGACCCGACAGCGACAGCATAACTGGCGTGAGGGCTGCAAATTGTGTCCAATTGTTTCGGGGCGAATACGAAGAAAGGGGGAGGACAATAGCGGAGAGTGTTCAAATTTCGAAGGAAAGTAAAATAGTTGCAATAATGTGCTCCGTTAAACTTTACAATAATTAGAAATGTTTCTATTGTCATTCGACCAAAACGCAGGAAACATTATAATAATCAGTTCGTTAAATATATCTTTTTCCTTAATAAATGAATTTTTATAGAAAATGTTCCATTTAAATTTTTAAATTAAATATTTAAGGATTAAGGATATTTTTATATTTATGTCGAAGGCTGCAAATGATCTATTCATTCTTTAAATACAAGGAACAGCGTTGCCGTTTCGCGTCTTATCGGATATCGAAAACAAATCCTTATCTTGCATATTTTTAAGAGAAATGTGTTAACAAAAGATCGCGGATGAAAAATGCATGAAATACAATAAAAGGAACTGCTTTGCTACGTCGCGATTTCCTCGCAAATGTCGATTCGATTATGGATAAAGCATTTTCGATATGAAAGCGGCTTTACCGTCTCTTTTGTATGGTATGTAATCCTTATGGAGAAAACTCCGAGTTTTTGTTTACAGTTCGAATACTTTTATCGTGACTGACCGAATGAAGACAATCGCGTTGCCAGATTTACAAAGAATCAAGTGTGCGAGTTTGATGTTTCCACAAAAAATTTGTCAAGTTTTTTTCATGTAATTTTTTTCCATGTAATGTGTTTTTTTCTCGCTGTCGATAATTATTAAAATAATTTTGCTCACGATAATTAATAACAACCGTTGATTTTTTGTACAATTTTTTTATTACATCCGCTAGGAAAAAATATGTTGCGACATGAGCTCATAAAAAAAAAGAAGGGAAAAAATATGCGCGTCTCGCGTGTCAGAAATATTTATAAATGAGTGTCGTGCATAAATTTATATATGCAAATTATGACAGATTATGATGATCGCGTGAAGTAATGTATGCATTCGTCACACTTTCTCATAATATGAGGAGCGTTACTCGATAAAGAGAGAAGCTCGAGGATTACTTGAGAAAGATAACACTCTTTGATGAAGACATGAGCGACGATAGAGTGAAATGCATCCATGTTTTTGACTCTGAATATCTTACGGATACTCTATCTTTTTGTGTGATTAAAGTCCGTGAAAAGTATATCTCACAACATAAATCTAACTCGGAAGCAGGAACACTATGCCGCAAACATAGCATCCTGTACGCTTCTGATACGTTGAAAGTATATATATATATATATATGTACGCGATAGGTGTGTGTGTGTGTGTGTGTGTGTGTGTGTGTGTGTGTGTGTGTGTGTGTGTGTGTGCGTGCGTGCGTGCGTGCGTGCGTGCGCGCTTGCGTGCGTGCGTGC